GTAAAAATTATATTTTCATATAAATAATATTTAATAATAGTATTTTTAAGTTACTAATTAAGATGACAACGAAACATGGAAATTATATATTTAAACCTATGAAATGTGTTAAACAACATGCTTATTTTGTTTTACAAACTTAAATCAAAAGAATATAAAAATAATTTACAAAATTAACTTTACTTTTAAAAATTCTTATACAAAAAGGTTTTTAATATTTCCATATAAATAAAATTTTAACAATGGTATTCTTTTTTTAAAACATGGGTTTAAAATAATTACTAGCTTGATTTTTTTAAGTTGCTAATTAATATGACTGCGATACATGGCAATTATATATTTAAGATTATGATATGTGTTAAAAGTATCCTTTTAGAAAAAACTTTAACCAAAAGAATATAAAAATAATCAAACAGGTAATTAACCTTTTTAAAAATTCTTAAACAAAGAAAATTTTTTAATATTTCCATAGAAATAAAATTTTAACAATTGTATTACTTTTTTAAAACATGGTCTAATATAATTCACACTAAACATTATTTTAAGATAAAATTTTAAAATAATGAATACTAGAACTTATTTAATACGATTTTCATACAAATTAAAATATAAGAAAAATATTTTTCTTATAAATGGTTCATATTATATTTTTCTTTTTAAGAAAATACTACACATCTAAAATTGTAAAACTCTTCTTATAATTTTATTTTAATTATAATATTCTTTTGCCCAGAATCTTATTTGCAATGTTAAATAAAAATTGGTTTAATTATAATTAGAAAATTTATAAGTTTATTTTAGTGGTAATAGTTCTTTTTAACGAACCTTATATTCAAATTAAAATAAAATATATGGGTTGAAAATAATTACAAAGTGAGTAGGTATTGGTTTAAGATAAATAATTTCCTTAATAGAACTACATATTTGATTTTTCTTATAAATATCTAATAGTTATTTTCCTTATAAACATGAAAATATTAATAAGCGGAAAATAAACAAAAGTTTTAGAAAAATAAGCAAAATTTTTAAAATTAATAATATATGAATGTTGAATTTTTTTTTATTTTAATATCAGTAAATGTCTATCTTTTTAATACCCTTAATATAACTTTAAAAAATTTTGTTCTTACAATTCTTTGTATTATAATTGTTTGCTAGTATTTTTTTATTGTTGTCATATTCTTCATGAATAATCATAAGAAAATTAGGATGTTTTCATATTTGGGTTTTATATATGTTTGGTCATACGAAAATCAAACACATATCTAATTATTTTTGAGGTGTATGGTCATTAAAAATTTATTATTATTATTAATTATTATTATTATTATTATTATTATTATTAATATTATTGTCTCTGTAACTGATCTTTATATGTATTTGGTAAAAAATCCAAATACTTACATTATTTTATTAAAATTTCTGAATTTAACTATGCAATATTTTCTTATACTTCATTTTTATTTTAAGTTGTTATAATGGATATGTAGCATCAAGAAACAATGAATTCAAAAACAAATTTTAAACTGAACCAGTTTAATAAGAGAATGTATTTATTGTTAAAAAGTGAGAAGCAAATTATTATGAAAATAATAGCTAACGAGTAGGAATTTATTTTTAACCTTTTCCATTATTAAAAATATTATATATATATATACTTATAATTATGTAACTAATTTGTTTTTTATGCAAAAAAGTATAATTTAGGTTAGATACATATTTTATTCTTGAAAATGTTATTACTATAAATATGAATCTAGAGTCAAAATATTATAAAGAAAAATGAGAATCCAATATATATCTATATTGAAATTCTTATATTAGAGATGAAGTTACAATAACTTTTTAATAATTGTGATTTCAGTTCTATTACAACATATATTAATACATTTATTATTTATTATTTAATTATTATAGCTTTGATCTCCATATATTCACTACATTTTCTTTTAAGGTAGAGAAATTCTATAAGTTGCATATATTGTCATCGATTCGATTGCCTTGATTCAACTTTCTAATTTATTGTATTTTATTCTAATTCATAAATTTTCAATGTTAGATTTAATTAAATTTTTTGGGTTTGGATATTTTTTCTCTACCCCTAAAAAAATGCTAATAACTGTTTATGCATTATGATTGCTGAAACATAGCCGACAAAAAATATATTACTGAAACATAAATACTAACCAAAACTTATGTGGAAAAAAATGTATTTCACGCAATATATGCAAAAATTCAACGATTGTAAATTTCTTTTTCTCATTTTTATGTTTTTAATGAAATTAAAACATCAACTGAGACCCGTGCAATAGATGGATCCATACCTAGTTCTTAGGTTCACCCAATACGATTACGTTATTTTATATTCATTATCTTTTAAAAAGGAAACAAAATATTTTCAAGTTATATTATATTTTTAAAATTTAAAGGTAAAAATAAATAAAAAATAATAGTAGTTGCAAAAAAAAATTAAATCTTTTTAATACTATTATCAAAACACTAAGCTCTAAACATTAAATCCTAAACCTTAAAACCTTTTTTTAAACCTTAAGCCCTTGGATAAATCCTTGTCTTTTTTAAAAATATTTTTAATATCGTCATCAAAACACTAAATTCTGAATCCTAAACCCTAAACCCTAAATCATAAACCCTTGGATAAACTCTTAACCTTTGGATTAATCATAAATTCTAGGGTTTAAAATTAATCCAAGGATTAAGAATTTACCCAAAAGTTTATGGTTTAGAATTTAGGGTTTAGTTTTTTGTTGACAGTATTAAAAATATATTTTTAATTTTTTTATTTTTTTTTAATTTTTTTTTATATTTTGATTTAGAAACATAATATAATTCGATGATATTTTTTTTCTTTTTAAAAAATATTGAATATGAAATAATAAAATCTTATTAGTTAGTGAATATAGAGGTTCATCCTAAGAATTTCTCATCATAAAACTATACTAGGATAAGACCTGCGCCTTGCGCAGGGTGAATATATGTAATTAAAATATAAAATTTTAATATTCACAAATTTAAAATTTACATATGATTGTTTTTGAATGTATTTGAAATTTTAGAATTTTGGAATTTTTATATAATTATCTATACATATGATCAAAAACAATTTTAATAAGAAATGTAAATCAAATCTTATAATTTAATGGATCTGATTTCATATATCTTTTTACTTTTCAGTTCGAGAGATGGAAAATAAATGGAGTGTCACTGGGCTTGATTGGTAGAGTATAGCAAGTTCCCTAATGTTTTTAAAGAAGCAATTGGTAAAATATTTGCAATTAAAATATATAAAGTTTCTAAACTAATTTAATATAATTTATTTATTTATCTAATAATATTAGAAAATTATATTTTTTAAAAATATATTTTTTAAAAATAATTTTCTAAAAAATTATGTTAAATTTAAAATTATTTTTAAAAGCAATATTTTAAGTTTTTCGAATACAAATAAACAATTTAAAATTAATTATTGTCATGATTTAACATAGCCATAATGATTTAAAAAATTAAAAAAATTAAAAGTTAACAAATTAAAAATTAACTCAGTTTTATATCATGAT